CTGCGATAATCTGAGAGTGTTCGGATGTGTTTGTTACCCATTGGCAGCCAGTGAGGGGGCAGTGCCAGGTACTCGGTCTCGATCATTTGGACTTGGCTGGTTTGGGATCTGGAGGCTGAGCTTGCTGGAAAATCTTTGCTGATTGAATTGTGATGCCTTCTCAATCATGTTTATTAACATCTGCAGGAGATTTTTTTTTTTTTATTTTGTTCATCTGTTGTTTTTTAAGTTTAAGTGTGTGGGTAGTGAAGGTTAACAAATAATACAGAAATCTTATAGAACGTAAATAAATAAATTTCACCATGCTTTGTAATCGGAGGCTTTCCTGTAGATGGTTGGTTCCATTATCTGAAAAGGTTATCACAGTTTGGAAGTTCACACAATGCCAATATTAAAATACAATTAATTAAATCAGATTGCATTTTAATTTGTTTGAGATCAAATGTTTTGAATCTAAATGTTAAAGATTAAAGTTTCCCTGTTTTAAAAATGTATAATTACGTCCAAAAATTGTAGCCGTTGTTGTCAGTGAAAAATAATTATTTAACCTTTCATTTATAATCAATTCATAAATTGATAGCATTTCAAAAACCCTTTGATAATATTGATTTTTTCAAATGAATTAATAATAAGAAAAGTAAACGTTGGTAATTAATAATTTTCCTTATTCCGTCTTTAAACCAAAACAATAGCAAGAAACAGAATTAATAATTGGATAATTAAAATAAAACGATGATTTTTCATTTTTTTATTTGAGATTTGATAATATCTATGTCTAAACTTGGAAACAATATCTTATTTAATAATGGATTTCTAACAACAATTAATGAAAACAGCTTATAAAACAAGCTTGTGTGTGAATGTTGTACCACATGGACATTATGGGGACCGGACTCCTTTGGAGGACATAAACCAGGTCCCTCATCGTAACGTTATTATTAAATAGGTGTTTTACCTGGTCTGTGGAAATGCTGCTGGGCTCGCGCTGATCTTACGAACAGCCTGCAGCTGCAGCGTGGATCCTCCAGGAGAACCGCTCTCACTTTCTGCTCTGCTCGCTATCTTCACCTGGAAAACACAGATTTATTAACCCTTTAACACCCACTCAAATCTTCAAGGAAAAACAAAAATATTATTTTATATTTAGCTGTTTGTTCATATTTCTACATTTATTTTCTGATTCTTTGACAGATTTATTATTATTTATGGCACTCTTATGACTCCCAGCACACTGTTGGAGGGCCCGCTCTCCCTACGGGGCCCAATGCCACCGGCACTGTACCGAACCACCGGCTGCAGCAACAGAGACGCTCTCTGTCCTCAGAGGCTGCAGGCGAACTGGACGCATTAAATGTCACATTTTTATCTCTGTGAGGAGACAAAGCAGCGATTGAGAAGAATCTGAATATCAGTTAAACTACAGTTTTCTCAAAAAGTCACTGACTCACAGAGGAATGTGTCACCAAGAGTTCACCGGCTGTTCACGGGCTGTTCACCGGCTGTTCACCGGCTGTTTACCGGCAAGTTATATTAGTAAGTCATATTAAAACCTCTCATCACAAGGTCGACTTTGTTGTTGTTTTGTGATTTTTAAATTAAATAATAATAATATAAACTTTTTTGTCTGCTAACAACAAAACATTGTCTACAAGTTCTTCACTAGAAGCACATTCACGCTGTTTGTGAAGGTTTCTGTATGCTACCTGTTTGTAGCTGAACTAGCAGCTGTGTTTGTAGCATTGACAGTTGGACAGAGTTTCCGGGTCTGAAAAGTGAAGCCAATGAGGAAGTTTCTTAAAACCTGCATTCTCTGTGACGGCCAACAGGGGGCACTCCACTGGCTGCAATATAAACTGATCTCATTCACTCTAATGGAGAATGAGCTCAGTAAACAGTTTCCTGATGACGTTTTCTGGTGTCAGTCCTCTAGTCCTTCAGCTCTTCTTCCATACAGCATGATGTTCATTTAGTAACTGATGGTCCCATTTAGAGTAAAACAGACCATAAAGCAGGGTATGCTTTAGGGTGGGGCTACCTTGTGATTGACAGCTCATTCTCAGTGAGTCCGTCCAGCACAACGCACCAAACTCAGATCAAACTGTCAAACTTTATCTGTAATATGAGAACATGTGTGACCAGGCGAAAATTGCTCAGCCAATGAGCTCAAGAACTCGGTGACCTTAATGCCAAACGGTCAAATAGTGTTTCACAAACCAATGGGTGATGTTAAGATGGGTTCACACTTACAGAATGTAGTTACATTGAGCATAGAGTATAACATTTGTTTTTATGAAAATCTTTATTATAATTAGAATTAATTAAAATCTAAATTCTAATTAAAATAGCTGCTCTTGGGTTTTACACTCCTACCTGCTCCTATAAGAAGCAAACATTACTACAACTTCCCTTTCATCCAAAGCAAACCTGTACTGTATTTTTTAGTTTGTATTTGCATGCGTTATCCTCCCCCGTGTACCGTCATCAGCCAGGTGCTGTGCAGTGTATTTCTGGCGTCTGTCAGTGATTTATGTGGGCATTTAGTCTCAGTTAACCCTTCACTCCTGCTGATAACAGATACATATGGTCTACTGGTCCCAGTTTGGGGCCTCTTGAAGACCCATCACTGCAGGGGCCGCCCCCCTCCACGATAAAGAGTGGCAAACTTTTCTGGCAGAAGATTCAACAAAATACAGCTGCATCACAAAGTGCCTCCTACCTATTGACATAAAGATGGATGACATGAGCCAAACCCTCTCTACCGCCCCCTGGTGGCTGACTGCAGTATAGCTCATGAAGCCTGCTGCCTCCATGTTAGCAGATGGGATAAACTAAAAAATCCAAGTCAAATTAATGTTTCCCAGAGATGGTTTGTGTCATTTTAGGTCGTTCTTATCATGCTGATGTTTGTAAAAGTGTTTTATTTTGCTGCAGTACAGTGATGTAATGTAACTAAAGTACATTTACTAGAGTACTGTACTCACTGTTAAGTGCAAATTTGAGGTTCTGGTACTTTACTTCATCATTTTCTTTTAATGCCACTTGCTACTACTACTTTAAATGTGTTTTTGGGGTAAAATTAGTATTGATCATGCTGTAACAACTACAAACCGCCATGGAACCAACACTGATCTTCCTTCATATTCTTAAAACATTTTGGCCAGTATGGATGTAAAATGTATCTTAAATTGCATTTATAATTGTCTTAAAAAGTCTTTTTGAACCTGTTGAGACCTGCAGAAACCCTGTGTGAAGATATACTGCGTTTCCTTTTAATAATCAATGTATTTGTAATCATTTTAAGGGTTGGACTATTGGCTGGACTAGAAACAACAAGTTTCACTTTGGACTATTTTCAGAATTCTTACAAGGAAATCAAATCAATGGATTTTAAATCCATTTTGCTCTAAGACCTTTGACAAAACTATTTCAAGACCGAAAGAATAAAGAAAAATAATTAACTGTATAGATTTATCAACAGTTAGAGTACATTTTTTGTTTGAAATATTGTGAACCTTGAAGCCTGTGTTGCATATTGCTATAAGTTGTCTGTATTGTTACAATTAAATTCCTGAGTAGTAGTCATATTATTGTCATTAAGATATTAAATTCTAAGTTCATCAGCATACCAGCTGCCACTACAGTGAATGCCAGACAGGCCTTCACCCTGTTCCAGCTGGTGGTTAAGAGAGCAGATCGTCCCCATCTGTCTGCAGACTCATAGCTGACTCAGGCCTTAATGTCCCAGAGGTTGAGAGGACAGGCGATGGTGGTTGAAGGGCTTCGTGTTGCATTCTCACATCATCAACCTTATTTCCTTGTTATCACCCGCGTGAAAGTGAGGGAGACCTTAACAGCCCCTCTGGGTGGAAACAAGTCAGGATGTTTTCAGGTCCTTCTAATTTCAGTCAAGAATTATTGAAACGATTAATTTGTGACTTGACGTACGGATAAATGTTGCAATGCAAATGGAACATCTTTAAAAATCAGTCTGCATACGTCTTAGTGTGAAGCCACCTCTGATTTTCTCATTGCTTTGGATGTTTGAGGCAAAGGTCATGAGTTCCAAGGTAAAGCAGAATGAACATCGTACACCTACTAAGTCATTGTCATACACAACGACTTAAAGGTCACACTGTGCAAATTTCATGTAAACTGGTCCAAGAGGCTTTTTTGTACATCTGGTCATGATACATGTGCGTACTGGTTTTCATACATATCAGTGACACGTGCGCCGGGGCTGCTGTTTAAATTTTCCACAGAATTTTGTGCCGCATTTAATGACCAGCATGTTGCAGCAGCCAAAACACGGCAGAAAAATAATAATAATCTTCGCATTTAAATACAAAGCTATACTAACTCTGTGTCATAGGAATCGTCTATCTACTTTTTGGACTATTTCAAGGACACAAGTGTTGGTGGGAGCAGCTTTACAGTCATGAGTATTCTATCAGGAGCAGGGTAGCAGAGGCCACTGTTCCTGTCTGACATACATCCTCAGAGATGCTGTAGCCTGGTGCCACTGTCCTTGGAGCAGCACAGCATACAGATGAGCTGTGCCATCTGGGCGCTGCGTTGTTCTGTCAGAGGGCGTGACAGTCAGCAGCATACACCAAACAGCCACAGCCCCTCAGGACAAAGCCGCCATGAAACCCAGCAGTAAAACTAAACCACTGGGCAGCGTAAATGCCACTCCAAACGCCATTACTATGCACCCTCAGCTGTCACCGTCCCAGTGTCTGCACTTTATGCAAACTGTGGGTGGTCAGTGGTGAGCTGTCTCATCTTCACCGCATGTTTGTTTTTTAGGATTGTAGACGCATGGAGAGCAGAAAGAAAATCTCAGTTGGCTCCTGTTCAACAAGGAGAAAACAACGAGAGGAAACAAATTCATCACCTGAATTATTTATCTGTTTACAACAGACCTGGCAGTGGCTCAAACAATAAAATTAATTGTGTGAGGCTGAAACTAAGAATTTTTTTATTATTGATTGTTGTACCGCTCTTGTCGATGAGAATATGCGTTGTGTGTATGTTTGATGTTTGTGAGTGGTTTCAGAGAGGAAATGATTTGATAGTAAACACAGAAAGAATGTAATATGTCGTGGGAAGAATGTGAACGAAAGAAATTGGATTAGTGCTGAAATTATCACATGATCAAAGCCACTATGTCCAGAATTCTTAATGTGACAAATATAAATATGATCCAGTCCGAGTAAAGCAGCATAAATTGTTTTGGGGAGTTAGAACAACAAGCTGTAAACACAAGATTAACAGATTTGCATCAATGCATCGGTGTAAAAGTTTAAAATGCGATCGCCTGAACCATTGGATTCAATTTTGAATGACCACTATTCTTTCCATCGGTAAAATGATTTCTTTATATGTAATTATTAGTAGAGGCTATATGCCTGAATTATTTACAAACGTGAACGTGATCATTTTATATTTATATTGATTCCTCCTTTCTTTTGAGGAAGCACAAGCAGCTACCGTGGTGGGCACTAGGTGTGACGCTGCGAGAAAACATTGTTTGTTAAACAACAGTGGGGGCTCCCATAGAGGTTAGCATTGCCCTAACACTGTGAGCACTGACAGTAAATAACACTGATTATCTGGTTATCATGGCTCCTGTCAGTGGGGGGGACATATCAGGCCAGCAAGTGAACATTTTGTCCTCAGGAGTTGATGTGTTAGAAGCAGGAAAAATGGGCAGCGTGAGGATCTGAGCAACTTTGACAAGGCCACATTGTGATGGACGACTGGGTCAGAGCATCTCCAAACTTGCAGCTCTTGTGGGGGGTCTGCAGAGGTCAGTACCTATCAAAAGTCGTCAAAGGAAAGAAAAAGAACTGGGGACAGGGTCATGGGCCTCTCAGCTCATTGATGGTTCCATCCAATCACCTGCCAAGTGCCTGCCCTTTCCAAATAGTTCAAAAAGCCAAAATGCTCTGTAGAGCTGAAGGAAGTTGCAGTTGTTTATAATCTTACAGTCATGACTTTGAGTGACCACTTTCACAGTCATTTAATTTATTGTTAATATAAAAATATTGGTTAGTGCAGCTTTATTGAAGAATTGAATGCCTTTCCAGCTCTCAACTGTTTTAAAGATTCTTTTCAATATAACATATAACATATTTGATTGATCAGAACGAATAATCAGCGATATTAGCACCATTAGTTGCACCCCTGAATTGGAATTTCCTTTGTTATATGTGGTGTAGAGATCAAGTTAGGTGGCCTTCCTGGTTAACCTTCCATTGTAGCTTCATTTGGTGTGAGATCCCATGAAATTTCTCTGTGTTATTGTCTCATTAAATGATTTGTATGAGTTTCAGGCCAGCCAGTGTCTGGGCCGATTGCCCTTAATGATATTAAGTTTGCTTGGGGATATTAAATTGGCTTGGGGTGATGAATGAGTTTTCCAGACATGCTGGGTTCAGTGGTGGTGGCAAACCAGAGGAAATGAGCATTGCAGCTGATGCCTCTAAAGGGCCAGTGCCAGTTCATTTGACCCTTTGGCTCAGCATCCTTGGTGAATGCTCAGGGAATATCTTTGCTCCGGACCTGCTCCTACATCACATTTTCATCCTTAAATTTCAGGAGGAGGCTATTCCCGAGTTTCAAATACTCTTAGTCCGTCTTTTCTCGAGAGCCGGTTGCCCGGTGCTCGATAGTATCTCTGACTTAGATAAGGTGAATTCATTCTCAGAAATTGGTGAGTTTAATGGAAGTGCTTTGTCCGGTGAGTGGCAGTGCGTATTTGGAGGGAGAAAGTCTTTAGGAGATGTAAGAAGAGCACACGGGATGGCATTTCCATAAACTGGCTTCATGTGCTGTAAGGGTTCATTTGTTCATGGGTCTCACGTTGTGTTACCATGACAGGCAGAAAATTCCCAGAGTGCCTGTGAAACCGAAGAAATCCTTCAATGGTAATTGCTGAAAATCTTGACCCTTTGTGAATCGGCTTTTAAAGACCGTAATTACAAAACAGCAGTGGGAGTCTAGTGTATAGCACTGCACATGAAGAGGCTTTTCTCATACGTCAGTTGTTGTGGTGCAGAGACGACATACTGAAAGTACAGAGAGGAGACAGTTCTAGTGAGAGCACATGATAAATGACAATAAAAGAAATGAATCCGATACTAACCTTTGTATTTGTACTGCCTGACGAAGAAGATCGGGTCTTTGAAGCCTTGAAATTGGCGTTATGGTGTCACCATGATAGTGTGTTGGAGCATCTTCTCTT